TTATGCTTCGCATATGCTATGCCAAAAATTGGCCAATTATGCGCATCGCATCGCATCGCATGAAACTGAGGTCCCTACTCTATGAGTGCACTTCACATGCACTATCTCTATATTAATACCGTATGTGCGCAAAGCAACGTTCTGGGCGTTATTTTGAAAACCGGATCCTTCAAAAATAATTTATATAGTCTCAAATTAGCACTCATGGACTTTCTGAATTACGCACATCCTAATGTCACGCGTAATTTATTGTTGTAATCAATGATGTACGATCAATACTCCATATGCGTACACTTTATAAGTGCACTTTCCTTATAATGATAAGTTCACATAATTTGATCGGTCTACTGTAATTATTTAATATTATATAAAAAGATTATTCTCCATAATGAATATTCTATAAATGTGCTTTTACCTAACAACGTGCATTTGTGGAAGGTTTACTGTATTGGATTTAGAAAATCTTCTCTTATTTCGAAATAACGCGCAAGTCAATTAATTAGCGCGCAGGCAGGCGTTATTCGCGTTTATACCGTATCATCATAGGGAAAGTGCATGTGAAGTGCATGTGAAGTGCACTTATAGAGTTTGCACATATGGAGTATCGACCTTACATCATTTATCACAACAATAAATTATTTGCGACATTAGGATGCGCGTTAATTCGGGACGCTAATTTGAGATCATACATGTTATTTTTGAAAGATCAATTTCAAATAATGTTATTTTCGCTTTATTTATTGGTTGGCGAAAATTTTTCGAATGATTAATGCCGCCACCTGACACATATTCAAGAGATGGTGGGCAATTCAGTATTTTGATGTCATATCAGTATAGTATGGATTTTCATCAGAAAACAACACCATACTTATTCAATATAATAATTTAATTATTATAATATTTGATCAGTATGGCATGGTTTTTTAAATTATAAACCGTACCATAATGAGCAATTATTATATGTAATAGCTGATAAGTATCATAGGATGGGTCATTGCATTGTTAGTGATGTGCCATTTATATGATACCTGGAAAATTTTAGCGTACAGTATGTACAGTACGTATAGCATGAGCAATAAGTATAGTACACATATGATATATAAATTATCTATATGTAAAATTTCGCAAGGAGTAATCTTACTTAGAATATAAAAGGCGGTTTCATAAAGAAACTTTTGAGATATGGGTGGTTTTATAAGTTATAGAATATTCTGAAATTTTTTTTGCGTACTGTATTATACACGGCACATCACTGGTCATTGTACACCTATACCAGACTGTTTAGGTCACCATACCATACTGATATTCCAGTATTCTGTCTTACCTAATTCTGTTCCATCATATGGGCTAGGTATTGCAAAAAGGGACCAAAATTGACAAAACAAAAGATCATTAGAAAATCAATCTTTATGTTATAAATCCTATAATAAATCATAAGAAAATGCAAACTTTAAAGAGCAATATAGTAAAATTTTATCAATACAGCCACTTTCGTGTCTTAAGTAAAAAAAATGTCCCTAATCTTATTATAAAAAAATATCATTTGAAAAAATTGTCAATTTGATGCCTTTTTGCAGCACCTAGTGCAAGGCCGATCGGGGTTTTAATATATTTTTTGTGCAGTTAACCGTGTATAAAATATTTATATGGTGATAAATTTTCCATAGGCGGCTAACTGTACACAAAATATATTAAAAGTCCAATCGGCCTTTTCCCTTGACAGCACTCATATGATATTACGTACATGTATCTCAGATAGTGATATGGACGACCTCGACCCTATCAGCCGGGCCGCCTGCGGGCCGAGGGCAGACCCGTAACTTCATGTGCCGGGACCGATTAAGGTAAAATAATTTTTTTCAATAATAATATTATTATTATTATGTTGTATAAAACTACAAAATGCGTCATTAAAGCATTATTATTTTTAGATTTATTTGCATCTACAATCAGCGTTGGCAAGTGACAATATTTTTTATTATTATTTTTTTTTTAAACCTCTTTTAACAGAGGACGCCATATAGGCGTACTTTATTTATAAATTACAAATTATAGTACATTTAAAGTAAGAAATTTCTTTACTCCTTCTACCTTATGTCCCCCCTCTTGTATAGCTTTCAGAACCTTTAACTCATTGCTTAATCTCATCTGGATTATAGCAGGTAGAGTTGTCTCTGGTATCCGCTTGTGTCCCCATTTAATCTAGGTATACCAACACCAGATCTTATATAGACAAGTGATATTCAGCCATAATGCTGCTTTACGTTTGGCAGTTTCTTCAATGTTAGATGCAGAGAAAATTTCATCCCATGAGTTAGGAGGCCTATCATTATTCGAAGTTACTAGATATTTATATGCTTCCTTCCAAATCATCTTGCTAATCTTACATTCCAGAGAGAAGTGTAGTGGAGTTTGTAACACTCCTGGACAGGCCAGACAATCACCATTTTTTTCTCGATCAATATAAAGTAAACGATATCCCAAGGGAAGTGCCCTGAAATTCAGCCTCCAGGCAACATCCTTTTTTCTATTCAAAGTCCATTTCTCTTTAATCCATTCCACATGGTCAGACTGGTTTGGAGAGAGTTTGCCCTTGGCTCGTAAGAATTCTGTAGCTTTTTTTACTAAATAGCTACCACATTGTTTTCTAATACTAAGTTCTCCTTGGTCCCATAGTTCATCATCCCCTCCAAGCACTTTTCCTTCAAATCGATTCCATGCCAAAACATAAGGCTTCCATTTCTCTGGCCAGCCTTTGGTTGTAACCGGATTATTATTAAGTGCTTCCTTTAATGTTATATTCCTTTTGTTCTGTAAACTCTCAGTGATTATTGTACGTTCTACCTTTGCCCAAAAACTATTACTTGTCAATAGTTTTATAAAAACTGTGATTAGTCTAGCGTCCAAGGCATCTTTTAATATCAGAGCTGCCAATCCTCCTTGGTCATACCTTGTTGGAAGGTTGAGTACCATGGGAGCATTCTTGACTTATTTTTAACCCATTCCATAATCATATTATTGAAGACATATAACTGTTTTCTTTTTGGGTGAATGAGGTACGCCAAATACCACATCTTCGAAATAAGTAATGATTTAGCTATAAGTATTCTACCTTTAAATGAAAGGTTCCTATTTGCCATTGACTGGATTTTGTTTTGAACTGTACTAGCTAACTCTTCCCATACATGCTTCATTGGATTGCCCCTACTATCCACTTTATACCCCAGAATTGAAATTGGTTCATCCTCCGCCAGTTTCTTAAAATCCCTTTCACCAGGTAAGTTATAATCTTGCGCAGCTATTGCAATCGGTATTAGAACCGTTTTTGATTTATTTACACTAGCATTTGAAGCTACTTCATACATTCTAGTTATCTCTATAAATTTGAGCTAGTTATCTTGAGAGCCAATACCTATAATCAAATTATCTGCATATGCAGCAATTCTAAAGCTTTGATTCTTAATGTCAATACCATTAGTGCTCTCATGTATCCATCTCATAAAGGGTTCTATTGCAAGTATATACAAAAGAGAGGACAACGGATCGCCCTGTCTAACTCCTCTTTTGACTTTAAAGAGTTCAGAGATCAGACCAGAGTCTGTAACAAAGGCTTGTTGTGTCGAAAATAATGCATTAACCACATTAATAAATTTTAAATCAAAACTCATTTTAAATAAGACTGTTTGTAAGTAATCATGGTTAACTCTGTCGAATACTTTTTGCTGATCTATAAAGAGGAGCCAATGCCGCTTAGATTGATTAACTTGATTTCTCATCACCATTAATATGTCCATGGCCGCATCTAATATTGACCTCCCTGTTACAAATCTTCTTTGGTAGGGACCAACAATATCCGCACATATTGCATTTAATCGATTTGCCATAATTTTTATAAAAATTTTTACATCACAATTAGTAAGAGAAATTGGTCTCCAATTACTAATTCTCTCTAAATTTTCCTTTTTTTTAGAAATGAGTATAATAATATTCTGGCTCCATGAAGTCGGCATCTCCCCTGTTTCTAACACCCTGTTAAACAATTTTACTAATACTGGAAGAATCTCTTCTCTTGCTAACTTGTAAAATTTGTAGCTAAGGCCATCAGTTCCTGGACTTTTGTTATTGGCAAGCATATCTATAACCCTACGAACTTCTTCCTCAGAGATTTTTTTGACTAGTGATAAATTCTGAGCTGCAGATACTTGAGGTAAATCTTGTGTTAATTTCTCAACTGCCTTTTTATTGATTTCTTCTGTTTTGTAAAGTTGTTCAAAATTGTCTCGAATGTACTGAAGGACAGTAACTGGATCCTTATTCATAGGTTTGCTTGGGTCCTTAATTTTAGTAGTTGGTGCTAATGAAGACCTTGTCTTATACCACATAAAAAAATATTTTGTGGACTTTTCTCCACTTTCTACCCATTTCGCTTTTGACCTAACTTGCCACCTCTCTGCTAATAGGGACAGATCTTTTTGCAGTTGTTGATTTATATCTTCTGCTACTAATTGTAGGTCCTCATACTCATTATTACGCATTATTTTCGAATTTATTTCTATGAGCCTTTTATGTAGCCTTTGAATTTTATTTTCTAAAGCTACTTGTGGTTTATAAGCCCTTATGATCGATTGAATAATACATTTATGACGGTCCCATTTCTTTATATCAATATTACGTATCTCCTCCTTGATTTCTTTTCTAATATTCAAGTTAGACCAACACCTTTTATCAAATTTCCAATATGCTGCCTGTGGGTGAACCTGTGCGAAGTGCAATTCATATTCAACTAATAAATGATCTGAATTTCTGTATCTGGTGGCAATACTATTGCAAAATTGAGCATGATTAGCATCAATGAAAATATAATCTAGATGCGTAGCCATCAATTGGCTTCCCCGAGTTCTTTGATAAAAAGTAAGGAAGGGTTTAAGCCCTATAATTTCTGCTGTATCTATATACTCTTGCATCTTTTGTTTTAGAATGTTACGTGACAGATCCTTATGAGGTTCTGCTTGACTAAATCTATTTTCATACGGATCAAGATTTACATTAAGATCCCCAGCTACTATATTAATAACTTCTTCATCTATCTGCGGAGACCAATTATTAAAAAAGGTCACTCGGTCTTCAATACTTGGTGGAGCATATACATTAGTAACCAGGTATGAGCATCGTTTAAAATTGAATCTTGCTGATAAAATCTGTCCGTTGTGTGATTCTTTTATTTCTTCAAACTTGATTTCTTTTTTGCCTGCTAAAATTGCTATTTTTGACGTCCAAAATGAATCAAAAATCCATTGTTGAGCAAGGAAATTTCTAATAGCAAAGTCGTGTAAGTTGGTTTCTTGTAATATAATTACATCTAACTTATATAATGTCATAGTTTTTTGAAACTTTTGTTTGTTATTTAAACCCTTTACATTTAGGGTAGCTATTTTAAACAAGTTATATATATAAAAAAGACAAAAAAAAAAAAAATTGCAAATGCAATTCATAATTCTCATGAGAAGAGCAACCGTCATTTACCTGACGAAGCCCTGCCTTTCTTGGCATCTTTATTTTTCCCATAAGGAGAAATCCTTTTATCTGCTACCAGAGTACTGGTTTTTTTTCTATTTCGTTTGCTAGTTACTTGTATGAAACCTTCCTCATTTACTGCTTGTTTCGAATTTATCATCATTTCTGCTATTAATTCCATGTCGACATCTTCCTTGTGCACTTGACCCACATCTTCAGACCCACTTGTCTCCACCAACTCATTATTCAAAACATCAACTATTTTTCCTTCTTCTCCTTCAGAAGTATGTGGTAAGTTGAGGGTGTCTTGTACTTGTTTATTGGGTCGATCATTAACAACTGTTTTATTCGTCACTTGTTCTGAATTTCTTTCATTTTCTTCACTCGCTAACTCACGATTATCAGTACTAGACTCAATGCTTGAATCTTGTATTCCCTCTGATAAGTATGGGTTATTTTCGCTATACGTTATAGATTCGGTTGTTTCCTTATACTTTTGTGCTAAATTTAGGTTTATTATCCGTGCTCTATGCTCCCTCTGCCGTTCACGAAAATCGATGGATTTTTTAAGTTCTTCACAATCCCTCTTGATGTGACCTTCCCTGTCACAGTAGAAGCAAAGTTTAGGCGCCTCTTTCCATTCTAGCATAACTTTCTAATCCCATATATGAGTGTATCTAGGGATTCTTTTAATGAGATCTGGGTCTTTTGTTGTTTCGGATGTAACAATCCACTGGTTCGTACATACAGGAGTCCCTTCATATACTAAGGGCTTAATTGATGAAATAGTGCCAAAGTCCTCAATAGCCTCTTTAATCTTTTTTGAAATAAGATCCTTAGGTCCATCGGGATGTTTCGTAGCCTAACAGATAGGAAAGTACGTCTGAGATTAACTGGGATATACCCAAGAAGTGAACGTTTAAAAATGTTAATCCCTTGAGTGGCGTATAGTTGTTGTTTCTCTTGATTACTAAAAATAACTTCAAGGTATAAACATTTCCCTCTTTATAGTGTGGCTTAGCTGCAACCAAGTCATCTCCTATTTTTGCGTATAATGCTGCAACAATATCATTAATTGAAATGTTTTCAAGGCTTTGAATATTAAAAATTAAAGTATTATCATTTTTTGTATAAATTCTATCCCTAGGGGCAAAGTTAGAGAAGGTTGCTTTGCTGCTTCTAAGTTTAGTAAATAAATTAGACCATTGACGGACTTCTAATGACTTTTTTTTCTGAAATTGGCGTAGTTCCACCCAAATCCTGATTTAGATTATCATTCTGCATATCAATATTCATTATGTCAGAACTTTCCATTATCTTTCCAGAAAGTTCTTTCTCATTTCCCGACGAATTTTCCGTTTCGTCAGAGTTACTTGAGCTCGTGTCTGTTGGGTCTTCACCCACAGAGAACTCCAAGTCCACATCCTCTGACCAATCAATCGACTTGTTATTTGAGGTAGCTACGATTAGTTCCTGTCCTTGTTCTGTGTTTATCCTAGTTATTGGGCTTTCTTGAATGATGTTTATGTTCTCTCCTTTGTTAATAGACTTTGACCTAGTGTCATGAGTTTTTACACGTTTTCCTTGGACTTCGTCCATACTCCAATCAATAAACTTTCTTTTCTTTGGTATCAGGGCTTTCGCCCCTGCGGTAAGGCCTCTTTTTATTCTAAAACTGCCTTTCCTCGGTATACTGTCCTTCTTTTAGCACCCTCCCGGCACCAGAACGCGGTAGAGTGCAGATCAGATTTTTTCAAATGACAATATCATATTGTCATATGATATGTTTATAAAATTATTATTAAATGACATATCATATGATATTGTGATATGACAATTCATATAAGTCATATGAGTCATATAACATCGCAGCCAACCCTGTCTACAACAGTGTTGGACGATGACAATATCATTATGTCATGTGATATTTCATATGATATAGAATCATATGAATCATATTAATATATGACACTTCATATGATATTGTAATATGACAAATCATATAAGTCACGTCATTTACATGACATAATCGTCTAACATTGGTCTATAATAGCTAAAATTAATTTTTAAATTATTTATTTAACTTGCGTGATTCATAAATTTTACAAATACAACTCACTCTCGTTATAGTGAAGATTTAATATAATGAAGAATTTTTGAATTCCGGAATTATTAAATTTCAATTTGATATAGTGATGTACATATAGTATTCCTACTATGATTTTTTTTTCTCAGCCAGGGGACTGAAATATAACAAAAGTAAGTGTATACCTATCTGCTGTCTTTCTATCTTTGCGTCTGCATTTTCCTAAATTAGCAAGCTATTATAAGTTACATATTGTACCGTTTGGTTCGGGAGAGCAATGCATAATAAACGCGTAATGTGCACCAACCAATACTTGAAATTTTGAATGGTACAAAGCTTCTAATAGGCATAGTAATTCTGCAATAGCGAGCTAATAATAGTGTGGACTTAATGAAAGAAGATCGCTATGACTATACTACTTTATGATAAAAACGAGATTCTTCTTAAAATATAAATTTCGCAGTAAACATTTTGATTAATATGAAAGAGCCTACTTTCTAAAACCTACTTATTTATCATTATCATGTTAGCCTCATATCAATATTGCACGTGGACTTTAACTTAGTTAGACTATCAATACACCAAAAATGAAAAGTTTATAAAATAATTCATTACAGATTACGTGCATGGCTTATCTGTTATATATAACATTGAATCCTGTGATTTTAGTGCCTGAAATTGTAAAATAGTCGGACCGGTCGACCGGGCCGCACTATATTAGTTTCAGCCCCGGCACAAAGTTTTGTTATCGGCCCATATCACTAATCTCAGAGTAACATTAATACCAAACCCGGTATAATCATACACGAATTGTAGAGGTATGTTACAACAGCACAGCACATTAACATGTGAAATCATAGATTTTTAACTCCCAATCAATTGCAAGATTTTACGAATTCGCCATTCTAGATGGCAGGAACCATACACTCAGCGATGCAAGCATCACTACGTTCCTGGTATAATATTCATTACCGTATTTTTGCGTAATAACGCGCAGGGGTGTAATTTCAATTTTTGGCTAAAATTAAGCTTAATTCGGGCCATTATTCGAAATAACGCTCATGAGCGTTATTACGCGAAAATACGGCACTTAAATTCTTAAGAATAATTCAGGTAAATATTATTGATGTCATGAATTACTTTGATTTGTATTAAACGAGAAAGCACTACGTATTATATAAATCATACCCATTTATAGATTACTAAAAATCTCCCATTATAACGTGATCTGTGATAATAAAAATAAAAGTTACTTGTAGATTAAAGCAAGAAAACCGCGTTACATTTAGGGTTAAAATTAGAACTATTTAGTAAAATTTTCACAAGAAACATTTTTAATTAGACCACAGAAGATGCTTTCTTAATTAAAATTTCGAATTATTTTTGAAAAATTTTTTTACCTGTTCTTGAAAGAATACTACGTATACGTAGATCAGTAGATATGGGATCTTTGCTAGGAAAATCACCCTTCGGGATTTTCCGATCGGGCCAATTCAGAAATGTTTAGACTAGAATGCCGCTTCTTATTCATATGTAAATCACCTTTGCTTTATTGATTCTTTATTAAATAAACTGTCGAATTAGCCCGATCGGAAAATTCCGAAGGGTGATTTTCCTAGCAATGATCCCATATAACTTTGTAGATCATAGGAATTTTTTAATAAAATAAATTTAAACCTCAAAAGATTTGTTCTAGAACTGCAGCAGATAAAGTCACAAATGCAAAAATTTAGATAGTTAACATACCCTCATTTAACTATTACGATCATTCAATTTTCGTTAACTGTACTTCAATAATAAATCTACATAACAAAATTCATTCATTAACAGTTGTACAACAAACAGTGAACAATATTCGTAACTTGATTACTTCTCTAACAATATATAATTTCAATTCTTCTAAACAAATATTAAAATCCAATTCATGAACAAAATTACAAACTTAATTAAGAAACCACTTTCTGCGCCTAATCATGTGCATTTATTTCGTTTGACCATCACGTTACACCTGATCTTGTAAATTGATTTGTCAAAATTACAGGGGTAACAATTTTCAGTATTTAAAAATCACAGATCAATTAAAAATTTTTAACTCTTAACAAAATGGCATCAAAAATAGTTGGGGCGAAATACCTGAGTTAATGGAGAAAATTCTCAACAATTTAAATAATGAAATTTCTTCATTATATTCTTGCGCATTAGTAAACCGACATTGGTGTAAAACTTCAATTCCTATTCTCTGGCGTGACCCTTTTTCATTTAGAAAAAACACTACGTTCATATCCAGGTATTTTTCATCTGCCAATGAAGATGACAAAATTATTTTAAACCAATATGGAATAATTGTTGATATTCCTATCACTCTTTTTAACTACGCAAGATTTTTAAAAGTACTCGATTTTTATCTTCTTGGATATAATCTTCGAAATTGGATTAAATCAAAAAAAATGTAATGATCTAGAAAATGTATGATGGAAAATTTAACTAATTTATTAATTAAGCTATTTGTTGATAGTGGTGCTACTTTATCAAAGTTAAATATCCGCATTTTAAATTTGGCTATTAAACCAGAGGTCTTTCGCTCATTAAGACAGAATGATCAATTTTTTTCTAAGCTTCAAGAATTAACCGTAGAATTATCAGTTGACAATAATCTTGACGAATACATTATGTTATTAAGAATTTTGGCTAAAAATTCCACCAAAATTAATACTTTAAAGCTAGTACGCTATCCCAATGAACCACAATTTAATCATGTGCTTACAATCATCATTAAATTCCAGCGAAAAATTAGCAAATTTAGCTTTAATAGGAATACTTCATCTTTTGTCTCCGCATTGGAATGTCAAAGAAATTCATTACAAGAAATTAACATAGGATCTTACTGCTTTATGGATGATGAAGAATTTGACAAGAATGTTAAGGTGTTGATGAATTGCGAGAATTTGAAGGTTTTTCGAGTTAATTATAGTGACAAATGGATACCATTTATTGCAAATCTCTGTAAAATTAATATATTGGAAATAGAGTCATACGAGCTTGATGGTTCAGATTTAATTCAATTTTTAAAAAAGTCAGGATTATCACTACAACGGCTTAAATTTGAGTCTAGAGATCGAATTCAATCACCAGACCAATTATTTATGGCTCTTGCGACATTCTGTCCAAACATTACATATCTTAACATTACAAATATTAATTTTACCTCTCAAGTTTTGACACTTATTTTAAATTTACGCAAGCTTCAATTTCTTGCATTAGAATGGTTTAGAGATGGAGCTGTTGAAGATATGAAAAAGTGAATTAAACAATTTGCAAAAATATTACCACCAACTTTACAATATCTTGATTGGAATGAGAGAGGAACATATTCAAATCCGTTTTATTAGATCATTGTGATGCACCTTTAAATAAATTTTTATTTTTTGTTGGGAAAGAATACTATAATTATTATCGTTGTTGGATGGAGACTGAAACATATAATTGTAGAAATGTGGCCAATTCATTAATTAGATTTTATATGCGGAAAAAAACTTTAAAGTATGTGTATGTCATGGATATTGAATTGGATAGACTTCAAGAATATTTAGGAGAATATTTTGAAGTAGTGCCAAATAAGCGTGATATTATTGTTAAATGCTAATCAGATGGATAATAATAATAATAAGTAGATAAATAAGTATTTGTCGCGTATGAGATCGTGATCTCGTGATCACGTGTATGATCGATTGAATCACGGCTAGGGGTCAATCGGAAAATTATGCACACATGAAGAATGTGCAATTAAGAATAGTCAAATAACGTATGATTGATTTATGAGGTAATTTAGAATAGTCAAAACACCGTATGATGCAGTAAATTAAGGAAAAGTCGAAGAATCGTATAAGACCGAAATTATGATGTAAATAATTTAAAGTCTAATCAAATGTATAAGAAGATTGAGAAAATAAAATAAAGTTTACCTTTCGCTTCCATAAAATAAAATACTGAAAATATCGCGAAATCCACTTTGTATTGAGCTGGTGACGCGTGGCCTTGTTTCACCAGAAAACCCAATCGTAGTCAGTGATATAGTTGCCGTCCAAACCTAACTAGTTTGGGGCTTTGGGACTTTCTAGGGTATTAACCACTATTTGGGACTAGTTAAAGCCATGGACCTTGACCCAAACTTACTGTATTAATTGGGATTTGGGACAAAATTTTAGATATATCCAATTTGGACAATAGTTATAACTATTTGGACGGCAACTATAGTCAGTGAGGGCTGCGACAGTACTAGTTATATCATCAAATAACTAGATTAGTTCATTATCATTTGATATATTTAATAAAGTAGATACGCACATATATATATATGTACAGTGATTAAAATTCTACTAGACCGAGGTTATTTAAAAATTGACAAAAAACCTAAACTAATTGATTTTGCTAATATGTGCTTTCATATTCTATTTAAATTAATTTTCGTAATCGATAAATGAATTACCGATCATTGATCGCAAATTCTTTTAAT